TATTCTATTCTATTTCTCCTATTCTATTCTATTTCTCCTATTCTATTCTATTCTATTCTATTCTATTCTATTCTATTCTATTTCTCCTATTCTATTCTATTCTATTCTATTTCTTCTATTCTATTCTCTTTCTCCTATTCTATTCTATTCTATTCTATTCTATTCTATTCTATTCTATATTCTCCTCTACATTCTATTCTATTCTATTCTATTCTATTCTATTCTATTCTATTCTATTCTATTCTATTCTATTCTATTCTATTCTATTCTATTCTATTCTATTCTATCCTATTCCATTCCATTCCATTCTACAGCTCGGACACTATCTTAACACTTCCCCACTATCCTGTCAGAGCTGAAGAAGCTTCTTGGATGAGAAGCAAAACGTCTTCACAGAAAAAAGAAAGAAAGAAAGTCCAGTTGCCTCCTGAAAAAAGCACTGTTGGGACAGCCATGACCTAGATGATGAAGAATCTCTACAGACATGGCTCAGAATGATGAAATATTTTTCTTTTCTTCTCTTCTTCATTCGCCTCACCCAGTAAATATGCTGAAGTTTTTAGTTAGTTAATCTACTGCTGACATTTGACAGCTTTAGACATCTGCCTTGTTTGGTGAACAAACTAACTATCGTGGTTTCCTGATGGGCTTCTCTTTGGGTAGGAGAGGTTTTTAGAACAACTCCCTTTGCCGATAAAAAGTCTCTTGTTACCCTTGTTCAGAATAAAACATACCCTGCAAAGCTAAGCCCAGCGCTGTAATGTTCCTTGAAAGAACATATCCATGAAAATTGAATTGGCCCATTAATGGCAGTTTTCAAGAACCCTATTCTTTCGAATTGCAGGATAAAAATTAGAAATAGCCAATAACTGAAAGCCCAGGAAGGGAAATTATGTAAGATGCCTCTGTAGAAGATAAGAAGTGAAACGTGCATGCACGCACTCAACCCTGATATGTGGCTATAGATATTGCAAGTACTTCTCAACTTACGAACTCAATTGAGCCTCAAATTTCTGTGGTTAAGTCAATTTTGTCTCATTTTACAACTTCTCTTGCCACAGTTGTTAAGTAAATCACTGCAGGTTTTTTAAGTTAGAATGTAGAATAGCAAGAATTGGGAGGGATCTTAGAGGTCTTCTAGTCCAACCCCCTGCTTAGGCAACCTCCATTGTTGGAGCATTCACAACTTCTGGAGATAACTCATTCCACTGATTAATAGTTCTGTCACGAAATTTCTCCTTAGTTCTAAGTTGCTTCTCTCCTTGATTAGTTTCCATCTGTTGCTTCTTGTCTGCCTTTGGGTGCTTTGGAGAATAGCTTGACTCCCTCTTCTTTGGGGTAGCCCCTGAGATATTGAAACACTTCTATCATGTCTCCCCTAGTCCTTCTTTTTATTTAAGTAGACATACCCAATTCCAGCAACCATTCTTTATATTCTTTTAGCCTCCAGTCCCCTAATTCTGTATTTGGTTTCTTTATGTAGAACAAGAGAAATTCAGAGAAAATTACTGGGAGGAAGTAGAAACCTCCTCTGTGAGGAGATGTTACAACATTAGAGGACACTTAGGATACAATCACCTAATAACAATTGTGTGATTGACAAGATTCTCCATTGGGAAAGTCGTCTGGTGCTCCTCAAGATTCCATTGTGGGTGGTGAGTGCCTTTCAGCACCCTGGACAGAGACATTTATCCTCCAAGAAGGGAGAAGGAACCTGGCTGAACTGCCAGATTTTTCTGCAACCATAGAGTCCTAGGGCTGGAAGGGACCTTGGAAGTCCTCTACTCCAACTCCTCATCAGATAACAGATAAAGATAACAGATAATCAGAGTTGGAAGGGACCTTGTAGGTCATCTAGTCCAACCCCCTGCCCAAGCAGGAGACCCTACACCATTTCTGACAAATGGCAGTCCAGTCTCTTCTTGAAAGTCTCCCACAACTTCCAAAGGCAACTTCTGTTCCATGGGTTGATTGTTCTCACTGTCAGAAAGTTTCTCCTTATTTCCAGGTTGAATCTCTCCTGGTTCAGTTTCCATCCATTATTCCTTGTCTGGCCTACAGGCGCTTTAGAAAATAGCTTGACCCCTTCCTGGTACTATTCTGGAGAAATGGTTGTCCAATTTTTTCTTGAATGCCTTCAACGATGCAGCACCTACAACTCCAACAGGCAAGCTAGTCCCTTGATTAATACTTCTGACTGTCAAGAAATTCCTCCACTGCTGCTTCTCCTGCGGCTATAGAGAATAAATTGACAAATTTTCCCTGTGAAAGCTATTCAAATAGTGGAAGACTGCCATCATGTCTCCACTGGGCCTTCTCTTCATTAGGCGAAACATACCTAGTTCGCTTAGCCAAAATCTTACGACTTAGCCTTCTTTTTGAATAAACACCTAATTCTATCTGATCCTAAGCATTTCTTTACTTGCAGGTGTCATTGTAAAAGGAAGGGCCAATGGCAACGGGTGTGTACAGACATGGCCAGACGTGCAATGGCAGAAGGTGTGGATGAGAGATTATAAGGTTTAATGCTGCTTTTCCTTCCATTTCCAACCTTCGCTGCCAAGTTCCAACAAACAAAGGAAACAGGGAACCCAGCAGGACATAACTGATGGCAATCCCATGGCCACGGGGATAGTGCGTTTGTACAGGATTTGCCTAACAATGACAACTGGGACTGCCACGTCGGCTGTCATATCGCTTAGTCATGTGATTTAGTGAGGGCCAGTCCCAATTACCATACTTCAGCGAGGATTACTTCTAATAGTACTAATAATTATAATAAATAGTTAAGAGCCATGGTGGTGCAGTGGTTAGAATGAAATATTGCAGACTGACCGCCCACTGCCAGCAGTTCAATCCTGACCAGCTCAAGGTTGACTCAGCCTTCCATCCTCCCGAGGTTGGTAAAATGAGGACTCAAATTGTTGGGTGCAATAGACTGACTATGTAAAATGCTTAGAGTGGGCTGTAAAGCACTATGAAGTCTAAGTGCTATTGCTATCTTCCTTCCTACCTTCCCTCCCTCCCTCCCTGTGGTTAGAATGCAGTATTGCAGCTAACTCTACCCACAGTCAGAAGTTCAATCCTGACCGGCTCAAAGGTGACTCAGCCTTCCATCCTTCTAAGGTTGGTAAAACGAGGACCCAGATAGTTGGGGGCCAGAGGCTGTAAACTGCTTAGAGAGGTCTGTGATGCAGCCTACAAGTCTAAGTGCTAGTGTTAAGAGCCACGGTGGCCCAGTGGTTAAAATGTGGTATCGCAGGCTAATTCTGCCGACTGCCAGCAGCTCGATCCTGACTGGCTCAAGGTTGACTCAGCCTTCCATCCTTCTGAGGTCAGTAAAATGAGGACCCAGATTGTTGGGGGCAAGAGGCCGACTCCGTAAAACAGCTTAGGGAGGGCTGTGAAGCACTGTGAAACAATATATGAGTCTAAGTGCTATTCCTAATAACAAAATTACAGGGGAGAGCATACGTGTCTCCGTCTGTGTGTGTATTTGTGTGTCTGTGTAGGTTTTAAGGCCTTCTGGGAGGCCAGCAGGGGTGTCATTTCCCCCTTCACAATTTAGAGGCCATTTCACTCCAAATGACTCTGGTCAGCTGACACCGAAAGCAGAAACAATCCAAGAGAATGAAATAAGAAA